GCATTGGGGCTGGCACCACGGCTCAATAGGCTAATCCTCTGCCTGCGGCGCCGGCACACCAGGTTCTAGTCCCGGTCGGGGTGCTGGACTCTGTCCCGGTTGCCCCTCTTCCAGACCAGCTCTCTGCTGTGGCCAGGGAGTGCGGTGGAGGATGGCCCAAGTCCTTGGGCCGCGGGACGCGATGGGGAGACCAGGGATGAACGCCCTGGGCTCCTGCCATCGGGATCGTCGCGGGTGCACCAACGCACCAGCGCCGCTAGCGCTGACGCCCATTGGGAGGGGTGGACCGAATCCTCAAAGGAAACACCTTTTCTCCTCTCCTCTCACTGTCCACTCTGCCTGTCAATAGACAACATATATACAGAAAAGAAGAAACTTACATCAAACTCAGCCAAAGAAGATGTTAAAAATACAAATTCCTAGATACCATCCAAGATTCACTGAACTCAATTTATATTGCTGGAATCCTTCCAATATGGGCTGCTGTTTACAAAACCTTTTCTCCAATAAGGTCATTTATTGACTGAAGTGCAAACTCAAGATCAGCTGACTTTTAGTGGTCTTGCAAGGAAGGAAAAGGAGGGCCTTCAAATATGGTCATGTTTACAAAGAACTTTTCCAAAGCCTCGGGGCTTTGTTTAGGATGCTGAATTACTCAGCCAATGGCTTCCAAAGCACAGAATGAAATCTTCCATGATTTCATAGTGCTTAGAAGGTAGAGTCCTACTAGAAGAAAGGGACCTTCATTAAATATACATCCAGCCATACCCTGAAGAAATTTGTTAGAATTCAAGGGTGAAGAGTGTGGAGGATTAAAGAATATTCTTAAAACCTCTGAAAGGCAGAAATCGATCTCATCTTTTGGGGCTGAGAAGGTAGAGATCTGTTAGATTTTCAGTCAAAAGCCTGGAGGAGCCATGTCAAGATACAGGAACAAGAGACACACAACCCTGTTCAGTCATAGTAAACTATAAATAACTATATATATAAAACCCAGTCCTGGACTATAACCCAGTCCCAACCCTGATAGATCCCAGACTAATGTTTTTAGCTATTCATTCTATTTAACAGAACAAATAATACTTCCTGGTAGGTGATAATGCCTACTTGATCTCTTACATTTTTTAAATATGCATGTCTTATATAAAAAAGTTGTTAAATATGTGAAAAGATGGAGGCTCCCAAATCATCCTGATATTGAAGATCTCAAAGATTTAAAAATAATTCTGTCTAATGTGTAAAGAAAAGCCTGCATTCTATAAATGACAAAAATGGAGAATTTAATAGGATAGGGGCAGCCATTCTGCATAGTGGACATCAGTTAAGATGCTTGTGTTTCATGTCAGAGTCCCCAGGATCTATACCCAGCAAGCTCCTGACTTCAGCTTCTTGCTAATGCGGACCCTGAGAGGCAGCAGTGATGGCTCAAGTAACTTGGTTCTTGCCATCTAAGACTCAGATTGAGTTCCCAGCTTCCAGTTTCAGCCCAGCCCAGTCTCAGCAGTTGTGGGCATTTGGGGACTGAACCAGCAGATAGACTCAATCTCTCTCTCTCTCTCTCTCTCTCTCTCTCTCTCTCTCTCTCTGTCAAATACGTACTTAAAAATAGAGGGGCCAATGCTGTGGCGTAGTGGGCTATAGCTTCCATCTGCAGTGCCGACATGCCATATGGGTGCCAGTTCTAGTCCCAGCTGCTCCTCTTCTGATCCAGCTCTCTGCTATGGCCTGGGAAAGCAGTGGAAGATGGCCTGAGTACTTGGGCCCCTGCACCTGCAAGGGAGACGTGGAAGAAGCTCCTGGCTCCTGGCCTCGGATCAGCCCAGCTCCAGCCTTTGTGGGCATTTAGGGAGTGAACCAGCGGATGGAAGACCTTTCTCTCTCTCTCTCTCTCTCTCTCTCTCTCTCCTCTCTCTGTAACTCTACCTTTCAAATAAATATATTTAAAAAATAAATACATAGAATAAAACCCATTAAGACAAAGATGGACATTCTAGAACTGAAAAATAAAATATCAAATAAAATATTTGAATTGGTCAGAAATGGGATTATTAAAATCTGATCAAAAGGTGAAAAAACTAAAGTACAAGGAGAAACAAAAGATTGACAAAGGTATAACAGGCTAAGAGATGTACAAGACACATTCAGAAGTTCTAATATGTATGTAATTAGGGGCTAGCACTGTGGCATAGTGGGTAAAGCCATAGCCGGCAATGCCAGCATCCCCTATGGGTGCCAGTTTGAGTCCCGGTTGCTCTACTTCCAATCTAGCTCTCAGCTATGGCCTGGGATAGCAGTAGAAGATGCTCCAAGTCCTTGGGCCCCTGCACCTGTGTGGGAGACCCGGAAGAAGCTCCTGTCTCCTGGCTTCAGAACAGCACAGTTCCAGCCATTGTAGCCATCTGGGGAGTGAACCAGCAGATGGAAGACCTCTCCTCTCTCTGCCTCAGCCTCTCTATAACCCTTTCTTTCAAATAAATTTTAAAAAAAAGTTAACCATATCAATAATATAAAAGGGCAAAATCTATTTTAAAAGACTAAGGTTTGATGTTTAAAATGTATTCTTTAGGAGTAATACTCTTTAACCATAAGGATACAGGAAGAATATAAATTAAATTAAAGAATGGAAAAACAAATCATGCAATTCAGCCTATACAGGATATAGTTTGGGGTAGCTATATTAACAACAGGTAAAGACTTTCAGGCACAAATATTACACAACAGACAAAAAGGGATACTTCATATTGATCAAAAGTCATTTACAATAGTAAGAAATGACAAATATTCATTTGTGTCAATAAAATGTTGAAATGGACAAATCTACAAGCATTCCTACAGATGTTAATCTTCCTCTCTCAGTAACTATTAGATATCTGTGATATTTCAATATCTACAAAGATATGAGAGATTGACAGAAAATAACTATCTTAACTCACATATACCAGATAACATACAACTACAAAATGCATATTCTTTTCAAGTATACATAGGCTGTTCATCAAAATCAAATACAAGCCATAAAGGAACTGTCAAAGAGTTGAAATCATAATCAGTATATTTGCTGATCACAATGGAATTGAACTAGAAGTAATAAAATGAACGCTTTTTTATCTCAAGGTGGAACCCCAAAGGATAAATTGTGGTGTGGTAAGGCAAAGGAATACTAAACCATGAAAAAGAATATCGCTTTCTCTTTCTGTGTGTGTGTGCGCGCATGCTAGCCCACAAGTGCTGCATGTATGCATTTCTTTCGCTCTCCCTCTCTCCTGTTGCTGTTAAGGCTGTTGCTAATGCGCCTGGGAAAGCAGATGACCCAAGTTTTTGGGCTCTTGCCACTCAAATGGGAGACCTGGATAAATATCCTGGTTCCCGGGTTTCAGCCTTTTGGGAGTGAACCAGTGTATGGAAGATATCTTCTCTCTCTTCCTCCCTTCTTCTCTGTATTCTACCTTTCAAATAAAGAAATAAATCGGGGCTGGTGCTGTGGCTTAGCGAGTTAACACCCTGGCCTGAAGCACCACCATTCCATATGGGTGCCGGTTCGAGACCGGTTGATCCACTTCCAATCCCGGTCTCTGCTGTGGCCTGGGAAAGCAGTAGAAGATGGCCCAAGCCCTTGGGCCCCTGCACCATGTGGGAGACCCAGAAGAGGCTCCTGGCTCTTGGCTTCGGATCAGCCATCTGGGGAGTGAACTATCGCATGGAGGACCTCTCTCTCTCTGCCTCTCCTCTCTCTGTGTAACTCTGATTTTCAAATAAATAAATCTTAAAAAAGAAATAAAACTTTAAAAAAGAAAAGGAATAACCAAGATGGGGGGTACAGCATTTGGCACAGCAGTTAAAACACTACTTGGGATGCTTATATCATCTGACTGCCTGAGCTCCAGTGCCAGGTCCCCTCCCAATTCCAGCTTCCTTTTGCATACCCTGGGAGGAAGCCGGTGACAGCTTCAGCACGTGGGTCCCTGCCACCCACATGGGAGACCCAGATGAACCTCTGGGCTCTTGGCTTTGGCTTTGTCCAACCCTGGCTATTGCAGGCATTTGGGAAGTAAACTAGCAGATAGGTACACTCACTCTCTGCCTTTCAAATAAATGAACAGTAAATAAATAGGGTTGTGGTACAGGGGTTTACGCTGTCTTGATATGCTGGCATTGCATATCAGAGCTCCAGTTTAAGTTCTAGCTGCTCCACTTCCAATGTAGCTCCCTACTAATGTGCCTGGGAAGGCAGCGGAGAATGACCCAAGTGCTTGGACCCCTGACCCCCACACCCAAATGGAGTTTCTGGTTCCCGGCTCCTGACTGGCCCAGCCTCAACTGTTGTGTCCATTTGGGGAGTGAGACGGCAGATGGAAGGTATCTCCCTCTGTGTCACTTTGCTTTTCAAATAAATAAAATCTTTTTAAAAGTAAGTTTTAAAATGTTTTAAAATATTTTTAAAAATCGGTTCTGAATGACCAAGGGAAACCGAAAGGAAGTTACGAAAGAGGGGGAAAAGAACTATCCCCCATTCTGAATCCCAGACACACTGTAAATAGACAAAAATCAACAACAAAAACTATAGATACAAAAGGTAATTTCTAATAAAAAATGTTTCTAATTAAACAGCAGGTTGAAATGCAGTGTATGAAAACATTTGTAAGCCTTCAGATGTAACCTTTAAAGAAAAAATGAACCAGATGGTAAAAGTGAAGTTTCCCAAGTAGTTACATAGACATCTGTCTTACCAAAACAGATAAACCTGATTAATTCAAATTAATCCTTTTCCTCAGAAACGTTTGAGTCATCTTGAACACTAACCCTCGCTGGGTCATTTATAAACAGCGGCAGTTCTTCCCCATCCCTAACCCCCCGTTTCCCCGCTGGGCAAGGGGTAGGTGTGTGCGCTTTGCCCAGCACCTGCCAAAGCCAAGGCGTTCTCTCCCGCTCAGCCACCACCAGCCCCGCTTCCAGGCGCGCACACTTCGGCCGCCAACCCGTCGCCCCGCCCACAACGCGTCGCCCCGCCCCACGAAGCGCCGCGCGGACCCGACGGCCGCGGCGTCTCTATGGAAACCGATCCGACGCCGGCGGGGCCGAGAGCACCATGGCGTCCGGAGAGCCGAGGAACTCGGGTGGCTACTATTTCAGGTTCCTGCCTCAGAGAACCTTCCAGTTCCTGAGCGCCCGGGAGATCACCAGCCGGCTTCGCCAGTGGTGAGGCGCGACGGAGCGGGGAGCGAAGAGCCCCCTGGCTTCCGCGGCCGAGGAGGCCTTGAGCCCGGCGCAGGCCTTGTGAGAGGATGCAGTGGTCCCATCCTGAGTGAAACCGCGAAGCTGCTGTCACGGGCGGGCGGGCGGGCGGGAGGGAGGGTCCTGTGGGTGGGACTCGCAGATTGTGCGTCCTGAGTACCCTAAGCTGACTTTTATTCCTTGTCGGTCCCAGGTCGATGCTGGGTAGAATGGAGGCGCAGGCGTTCGGGTTTGACCAGACTTTTCTGGCCTATCGGAAGGATGATTTCTTTATGGTTGGTATTGGGGGGTGGGGTGTCTTTGTGGGGACTGCTGATTTTTTGTTTGTTTTTTAAAAATATTTATTGGGGCCGGCGCTATGGCGGAGCAGGTAAAGCTGCCGCCTGCAGAGTGTATCCCAAATGGGCGCAGGTTGGAACCCCAGCTGTTCCACTTCCGATCCAGTTCTCTGCTATGGCCTGGGAAAGCAGTGGAAGATGGCCCAAGTGCTTGGGCCCCTGCTCCCGCGTGGAGGACCTGGAAGAGGCCTCTGGCTCCGGCTTCAGATCGGCATAGTTCCTGCCATTGCGGCCAATTGGGTAGTGAACTAAAGGATGGAAGACCTCTCCCTCCTCCTCCCTCCCCCTCCGTTCCCTTTATCCTCCTCCCCCTCCCCTCCTTTCTCCTCCCTCCCCCTCTGCCTCTTTGTAGCTTTTACAAGTAAAGTAAATAAATCTTTTTTTTTTTTTTTTTTTGACAGGCAGAGTGGACAGTGAGAGAGAGAGAGAGAAAGGTCTTCCTTTGCCGTTGGTTCACCATCCAGTGGCTGCGGCGGCCGGCGCACCGCGCTGATCCGTTGGCAGGAGCCAGCTACTTATCCTGGTCTCCCATGGGGTGCAGGGCCCAAGGACTTGGGCCATCCTCCACTGCACTCCCTGGCCACAGCAGAGAGCTGGCCTGGAAGAGGGGCAACTGGGACTAGAACCCGGTGTGCCGGCGCCGCAAGGCGGAGGATTAGCCTAGTGAGCCGCGGCGCCGGCCAAATAAATCTTTAAAACAATGAAAATAAATTTTTTTATTTGACAGGTAGAGTTATAGACAGAGAGAGAAAGGTCCTCCTTCCATTGGTTCACTCCCAAAATGTCCGCCACAGCCGGTGCTCGCCGATCAGAAGCCAGGAGCCAGGTGCTTCTTCCTGGTCTCCCATGCAGGAGGCAGAGTTACAGAGAAGCACAGGCAGAGACAGAGAGGTCTTCCATCCGCTGGTTCACTCCCCAGTTGGCCGCAACAGCGGAGCTGTGCCGAGCCGAAGCCAGGAATATTTCTGGGTCTCCCACGCGGACCACAGCAGAGAGCTGGATTGGTAGTGAAGCAGCTGGGACTCGAACTGGTAGCCACACTCTACGCCACAGTGTGGTTCCGGGACTACTGATTTTTAACACTCTGTTGGTGAGAATTTGTGTGAACACGCCATTCCTTAGCGAAGTTCCCTTGGAGTTTGGGAATAATGAGAGTTGTAAATAGTATATTTCTAAAGGAACTTTTCATCTCTCATCACTATCAGTTTGTTGTGAAAGGGTCTGTTTGTCCAAATTCAATCCTGTGATTTTCAATCTTGAAAATCTTGACTCATCGAATTTCCATAATGCCAGGTAATTTTTTTCTAATTTTCAAGTTAATCGTGTTTCTTTATATTTTCCTGTGAAGAAACCAGTGTTACTCCCACATTTAAATTCATAGAAATGTACTCAGGATCGTTGTTTTTACTCATAAAAAAATAAGGAAGGAAATAAAGTATGGTAGCTGAGAATGTCCTGAAGGGGATTTACCTTGAAGCTAAATCAAACGGAAATATTATTATGCTTTATAAAATTCTCTTCCTTCCTTGTCACACATATCCTTCATACAATGACTTTAGTTTGTAGTTGGTGTAGTTTGTTGGCCCTTTCACAAACACTTCCTGAGGGCCTGTCATCTGCTAGGAGTTTCTCCAAGTGATGGCCAAAGATGAACAAGATAAGAGCTCATCTTGCAAAGATTTAGCAGGCCCTTGGCAAAATTGCCAATAAGTCAAAAAAGAAAAACCAGCATTTCGCAGAGTGATAAGTACAGTGAGGAAAATAAGGAAATGGAGAAAATGAGACATTGATTAGTATTGCCTTGAGGTATTCGTGGCTGGGTGGACAAAATCAAGGGTTTAATAAGGCCGCGATCCCTCTGAAACAGAAGGGACAATCCTTCCTTCCTCTTTCCTAGCTTCTTGTGGTTGCCAGCAGCCCTTGGTAGTCTTCAGCTTGCAGCTGCAGCGTCAGTCTCTGCCTTTGTCAGAAGCAGCTGGCCTCCCCTCAGGTGTTTCTTCTTCCCTTGAGGACACCTGTCATAGTGAATTAAGAGCTGACCATACTTCACTATAACTTAATAATAAGTCATTACACCCACAAGAACCCTGGATCCAACCAAGATCCCTTTTGAGGGGTTTCAGGAAGCACATGAATTTTGGGTGGAGAAAATTCAACCCATAACAGAGTAAATTGGTTAAATGTTTCCCATTCTTTGTTATAATTATACTGTTACTGATAATGGCATTTCTTAGATATGCCTGGTTACATTTTTATACTCTTAAAATATAGTTTTCATTTATATCAGTACTGCCTCTCAATTTTTTAAAAAAATTGTTTTTTTTTTAAAATAAAGATTATTTATTTGAAAGGCAGAAATAGAGAAAAAAAAAGAAAGGAGAGATCTTCTATCCTCTGGATCACTCCTCAAATGGAAGCCAAGAACCTGAAACTTCCTCCAGGTCTCCCATATCGGTGCAGGGGCCCAAGATCCTGAGCCATCTTCCCCTGCTTTCCCAGGCACATTTCTGGGGAGCTGGCTCAGAAGTGGAACAGCTGGGTCTTGAACTAGCACCTATGTAGGATGCTGGCACCACAGGCAGAGGCTTAACCTACACCACAGCACCAGCAAAATCAGCATTGTAGCGGAGAGGCTACTTCATAAAGTTCATGGAAAATGGATTTTAAAACTGTTTACTTTGGTGCAAAAAATTTGAAAACCATGTATATGAAGGGTCTTCAAAAAGTTCATGGAACATGTACATTATGAGAAAGCACACCAAAATAAACATTTTTTTTCTGTTTTCCATGAACTTTTTAAAGTACCCTCATGTTTACATGGCCATATGTTTTTTAAGTTTTTCAAAAATAAAATGTTTTTGTATTTTTAGAACCCTTAAAATGGTAGCTAGCTGGCTGAGTTCTGATTCCATCTCGGCCACTTAAAAGCTGTGTGACATTGGACAAGTTATTTAACCACCACAGTCTCCATTTACATTTCTACCAAATGGTCACAGTGCTTGGCACATAGTAAATATTTAGTGTGAATTTTTGAATATGAAAATAATACTGGGTATGTGATGAAATTGTTATGAACGTTAAGTGAAATATAGAAAATATTTATCAAAATGTCAACTCACAGGTGCTATATTATTACTAAGTATATTACAAAGTAGCTTTGAAAATACTTCAAGTATTTTGCTATCACAGTAGTGACTCGTATGTCTAATTTACCTTTCAACACTTTTCTTACATTAATCACTTAATATTTATAATTGATAAATTTGGTGTTTGACCCCTGTTTTTTAGCTGAGGAAACTAAAACTCAGAAAGATCAAATAATTTATGTAAGCTTACACAGCAAAGAGCAAAACCCAGACATTTTTACTCTAAATTCCAAGATGTTTCTACTGTATAGACTGATAACTAAATAAAGGACAGTGCTTAAACTAGAATTCTAGATTTTTTATTTTCCCTTCCAGTTTAAAAAAGCTTTTGGAAAAACTTATTTGTGAGGTAGAAAATAAATGGAAGGAAGGAAATATCTGGGAAACACTTTTTAGTTCCTGGATCTACACAGATGAATAGATGCAATTAAAGAGAGGGAAGCAGACCAAAAATTGCATAGCGGAGTGAGAAGTGATATAATACTTACCTAAGACATGAGGTACTTTAGAGATAGAAATGAGAAAATGACTGAATTGGACAGAGGAGAGTTTACAATGAAAGACTTAAGTTAGGCCATCAAAGGTGAGCAAGAGTTTGTCAGGTAGGCAAAGTTAGGGAATGATACTATAGAGACGATAGAAAACCTAACTAAAGAGGAGTTATTGAAATGTTTTAAGGAAAACTTTAAAATACTGGAATCACCTTGTCTGGAGTCTGGAAAGTGGAGTAATAGTACTGGGTCTGGAAACAAATTGGAAATTACTATAATCCATATAGTATATAGTGATGTCCTCCCTTAAGATAGTAGTACTGGAATGACCCAGAGAGGTGTTTAGGAGAAAGCCTTCAGGACTGATAAAATTTTGAGATGAAGGGAGAGGGAGACATGTAGGATGACTCAGGCTTCTTTTGTATAGAGTAGTAGCTAATGCCATAAAATTGAATAGAGAATACAGAAAGGGATGAGTGTTGTATGCAGTAGATTCACCCCTGCCTGAGATGTTCTGTCCCAGCTAATCTGCACTTCTGATCCAACTTTCTGCTAATGTGTCCGGGAGATAGATGGTGACCCCAAGTATTTGAGTTCTTGCCACCCACAAGGGAGACCCAGATGGAGTTCCTGGCTCATAACTTTGGCCTGACCCAGTCCTGGCCATTGTGGACATTTGGAGAGTGAACCAGCAGATAAAAGATCTCTGTCTCTTCTTCTCTATATAATGTTTCCTTTCAAATAGATGTCCTTAAAAGTAAATGAGGAAAATGAGTAGTTTTAGGCATGCTGAATTTGAAGTATATTCAAATAGCAATATTCTAGATAGTTGAATGTAACATCCAGTTTTGGGTCTCAAGAGAGAGCTTTGGGATCAATATATACTGTTGGTATTCTTACCATAAAATTAGAAATGATAAGGGGGCTTTTCCACATAAGCAACTACAAAGAAACCTTTTTAATTTACAAGCTTTCCCATAGACCTGAACAACACTTAACATTTGAATCTCATGACCAGAACTCAGCTATATGGCCATATCCCAAGGAAGCTAAGAAATGTAGACTTAGCACATTACTGTCCCAAATAAAATCAGGATTTCTTAAGAGAGAACTAATACTGTGCCAGAAACCAGCAGTCTGCCAAGTAAATGATATAGTCAAATATAAATTCATTTTTTTTAAAGATTTATTTTATTTACTTGAAAGGCAGATTGACAGGGAGAGATGGAAAGAGAAAGAGCTCTTCTATCTGTTGCTTCACTACCCAAATGGCCACAATGGCCGAGGCTGGGCCAGCCAA